CCTTTTCTTAATCCGTTTTGTTTGCTGCTCTTCTGATTTCCTAGGAATCGACTGGACATGTCGTCAAATGAAAGGAACTTGCATTCGTCAGACATAGAAACAATTTTTCTTCTTTTTTTAACAGTCTCACACTGCACACCTGGCTAGCCTCTGCCTTTCCAGTATTGGAATTACAGGCGTTATCTACAATAGTTTTCTTCTTCTTCTTCTTCTTCTTCTTCTTCTTCTTCTTCTTCTTCTTCTTCTTCTTCTTCTTCTTCTTCTTCTTCTTCTTCTTCTTCTTCTTCCTCCTCCTCCTCCTCCTCCTCCTCCTCCTCCTCCTCCTCCTCCTCCTCCTCCTCCTCCTCCTCCTCCTCCTCCTCCTCCTCCTCCTCCTCCTCCTCCTCCTCCTCCTCCTCCTCCTCCTCTTACTCCTCCTCCTCCTCCTTTTTGAGACAGGGGTTTCTCTGTATAGCCCTGGCTGTTCTGGAACTCGCTCTGTAGACCAGCCTGGCCTTGAATCCAAGGGATTCGCCTGCCTCTGCATCCCAAGTGTTGAAATTAAAGGCATGCACCACCACTGCCTGGCCCAAAATAATTTCTAATGTTCTGTTGCACAGTATAACATTTGTGTAGATCAAAGTAGCAGATACAGGGGATTTTGAATGTTTTTAAGGCAAAGATGTGGTAAATGGATGGGTATGCAATTACCCTGATATAACTGTATGCGTGTTCTGCAATGTCACACTGTATCTCTTAAATAAGTATAATATGCATGTCAAGATTTCAAGTTAATATTAAAAGGTGGGCATGGTGGCACATGGCTGTAATCTCAGCATTCAAAGGCCGATAAGGCCGGGCGGTGGTGGCGCACGCCTTTAATCCCAGCACTCGGGAGGCAGAGCCAGGCGGATCTCTGTGAGTTCGAGGCCAGCCTGGGCTACCAAGTGAGTTCCAGGAAAGGCGCAAAGCTACACAGAGAAACCCTGTCTCGAAAAACCAAAAAAAAAAAAAAAAAAAAAAAAAAAACAAAGGCCGATAAGGACTGCAGTGAATTTGAGGCCAGTCTGGGCTACACAGTGACAGTTAGCCTCAGATACACACAAACATATATACATACACAGGGCTGAGAATGCAGTTCAGTTGATAAAATATTTACCTATTCTGCTCAAAGCCCTGCCTTGGGTCCCAGCACTACAATCTCAGCACTCTGGAAGCGAAGCCAGGAGGATCAGGAGTTCAAGATCATCCTTGGCTATATGGTGAGTTTGAAACCAGCCTAGGCTGCCAGACTTTTTCATAAACAAACAAACAAACAAGCAAATAAATAAATAAATAGATCTGGAAAATGAAAGGGAGTCAGGTGTGAAAATATGCCTTTTGTGCTACTCCTAAAGGAGTCAGATGATTTCTTGCAGGTTTCCCGATAAAGCTTTCTCAAAGAGAAGACTAGGGATGTATTAGGCAAATTGTGAAGAGGAACAGCCTATTGGAAAAGCCTATTTGAGGGTCAAATAGGGACAATCTCGACTACTGAGCTATCTTTACACCTGGTGTTGGAAGACTTGAAAAACAAAAACTCATCCAAAACATAGAGCTAGAAGTGTGGCTAAATGGCCGAGGGCTTTTCTAGCATGCACCATGGTCTGGAAACAATCCCCAGTATTACAGTAACAACAGTAAAACAAGGCATCAATCTGTCCAACCCATTTATTTCTTAGCAAACATTTATGGAACACATATTCCCAGAATCTGTGCTAGGCATTGTAGCAGTAAAGACAAATAAAAGGGGAGCCTGACCCACAAAAGGGCCACAGTCTAATGGAAAAGTATTTTAGCAGTTGTGAGCCAAGGAATACCACAAAGTCACTGTAAGAGTAGCTGCTTACAGCCTTGCTCCAGGCAAAGGTTTTCCCCATATAACAACTCTGCCCTGACAGGGGAGGGTTTCCCCAATGAAGTAGTTACAGTTCTGTCCAGGTGCCCCGGAGTGTAACAACTCAGCTCCCCTAGGGGAAGGTTTCCCCAGGGAAAAGTGTTACAGTTCTGCTCCACTCTGCTTCATTCAGCCCAGGCTCCATCTCTGCTCCAGGGAAAGAAGGTCTCCCCCAAGTATTATTTAAGAGATTTACTGGGAGGGAAGAATCCAGGAGAGTGGCTACCTCTGCAAGGGTGGAAAGAGGCAGCAGTGAACTGAACAGGCACAGAGCTTATATAGGGCTTCCTAGGGAAGGAGTTTTTCCAAGGTGGAGATTTTCAGGGTGGGAATTGGTCAGATTTCAATTGGACAATTGTCAATCGGACAGGCTCAGATTGGCTAGATTTCATGCTCATGGATTGGTTGGTTTTCTGCTTAGGGATTAGCTGGCTTTCCTCCTTAGGGATTGATTGGTTGGTTTTGTGCTCAGTTGGTTAGGGGCAGATTTGGCTCTGGTTTCAGGGCCAGAGTATGTTTGTTTCACAAGCCATTTTTAGCCTTTTGGCTCTAGTTTCAGGACCAGGGTGTGTTTCTTCCACTGGCTCTGGTTCCAGGACCAAAGTGTGTTTTTTTGGCTTTGGTTTCAGGGAGTGTTTCTTTGGCTGGCCCTTTCCGCCTACAGTCATGGTGTCTCTTAATAGCCATAGAAACCCTAGAACAGGTGGTAAGGTGGTTTCCACAGGAGGTGTCCCAAACCAACCTGAAATAGCTCTGGTTGGGACTCCAAAGAAAGAAACATGAAATTCTGGGGCAAATTAGTACAAAGTTCTTATGAGAACTTCCACCCTATCAGTGCAAATGGTATGAGAAGAGGGGGGTGTTCTATTTAGTTTTGTCCAGTTAAGGGTGTGTGTGCATGGAGCTCACATAAGGAATTTGGGCTCACATTGGGAGTCAGTTTCTTTCGGTTTTGGACAAAAAAATCTAACACTTCTGTTGGTGCTTGGGAGTGTTCAAGGCCATGGCTTAGATTCAAGGTTACTAGGAAAACATCAATGCTAGCTTAGTTAGTGGTCAAGGCACACGAGGATTTCTTTTTGTGTCAACACATAGAAGAAAGTAGGAGGAACTGGAGGACCCTATGGAGGGACATGGGATGTGGCAAGGATATCTGAAGCAGGAAGGAGATTGTGTAGAGGGGCAATGGAATGTAAAATGGTGAACAAGAATCAGGCACTTGGTCAGAACCAAAGCTATGTAGGGACTGGTCTCTCTGAGATGGCATTTCTTGTCCTCTATATGATGGGGAGCCTTTGAACATATGAGCAGTTTTGCAGGTAGGGTGCTTGTGTGCATGTGTGTTTGTGTTTCTGAGGCAAGGATTAACTATGTATCCTAAGCTGCCCTCACACTCACAGGGATCTTACTGTCTCCACCTCTGGAGTGTCTGGCTTACAGGCAGGAGCTACCATGCCCTGATGGTTATTGTAAATTTTAAAATGTATTCTTTTATATAATTTATTTGTATTTTATGTGCATTGGTGTTTTGCCTACATGTCTGTCTGTGTGAGGGTGTCAGAAGCCCTGGAAGTGGAGATACAGACAGTTGTGAGCTGCCATGTGGGTGCTGGGTATTGAACCTGGGTCTTCTGGAAGAGCAATCAGTGCGCTTAACTGCTGAGCCATCTCTCTAGCACTTAAAATGTTTGTTTGTTGTTAGTTTCTTTCTTTCTTTCTTTTTCCAAGGTAGGGTTTTTCTGTATAGTCCTGGCTGTCCTGGAACATGTTCTGTAGACCAGGCTGGCCTCGAACTCACAGAGATCTACCTGCCTCTGTTCCCTCAGTGCTAGAATTAAAGACATGTGCCACCATGCCCGGCTTAAAATATATTTTTATTTTGCAAGAAAGCAGAACAAATTTTAATTAGTACAGCAAACTATTAAGTTCCATAGATAATATTTATTAGGCCAGGCTAAAAATCCTATGTCCTTTGAAAAAGTATTAAGACTAACTATAGAAAAAAAACTGTAAATAAAGCACAAAATGACTAAAGTTTGAGAAATATTACTCTTTCTGTTTATTCTATTTTATGTAACTGGATATATTACAACATTCTTGTTTAATCAATATTCATATAATTAAATAGTATTATGGAATAAATCTACAGGTTAGTAATTACAGGCTATTGTAGGTCATTAGATTTTTTTTAGATTTATTAGATTATTAGATTTTTGTGGGTTTTTTCCCATTTCATTTTTAAAAATAGGGTCTCAAGAAGCCCATATTGGCCGGGTGGTGGTGGCGCACGCCTTTAATCCCAGCACTCGGGAGGCAGAGGCAGGCGGATCTCTGTGAGTTTGAGGCCAGCCTGGTCTCCAAAGCGAGTTCCAGGAAAGGCGCAAAGCTGCACAGAGAAACCCTGTCTCGAAAAACCAAAAAAAAAAAAAAAAAAAAGAAGCCCATATTGGCCTTGAACTCCATCCATAGTGGAGGGTAGCCTTGAATTCCTAATACTTTCTGCCACACCAAGTGCTAGGATCACAAAGAAAACAACAACAATAATAACAGCAAACTTGTCATGCTAGAATTGAAGGCATGTCACCACACTCCCCTTATTTAGGTTTTACATTAGATTCAGAATATGGCCCAATATATTTTTGTTGATAAAATTAATAACGTTCACTATTTATAAGATCTCCTGGGAATGTTTTAGTGTACTAACTTCAGTTACAAATTTGATTTCTCAGCCAGGCGGTGGTGGCGCACGCCTTTAATCCCAGCACTCGGGAGGCAGAGCCAGGCGGATCTCTGTGAGTTCGAGGCCAGCCTGGACTACCAAGTGAGTCCCAGGACAGGCGCAAAGCTACACAGAGAAACCCTGTCTCGAAAAACCAAAAAAAACAAAACAAAACAAAAAAAACAAATTTGATTTCTCTGCAGTAAAAGCTCACTGGTTAGCTTTCTTTCCCCCCATGAATAATTTGATAGTAAATGGAAAGAAAGAATTGAAAATTTTTCCACATCCGTGAGTTCACTCCCACCCCCCACCCCCCGTCCCAACATGAGTTATGTGCTATGGGGGGGGGGGCGGGGGGGGGACACTTCAGTTGGAGGCTTTTTCCCATTTATAGTCACATAACTTCTCACGACTGTGGATTCTCCTGTGCTGGTTAAGGTGAGCACTCTGGCTGAAGGCTTTCCCACATTCATTACACTTATAGGGCATCTCTCCCGTGTGTGTCCTTTCGTACTGATTAAGATGCGTTCGCTGGCTGAAGGCTTTTCCACAGACGCGGCATTCATAAGGTCTCTCTCCACCGTGAAGTCCGTGATGCTCAGTGAGCGATGTGATGTGGCCAAAAGCTTTGCCACACTGACTACATTTGTAGGGCTTCTCCCCCGTGTGGATTCTCAGGTGCTGGGTAAAGGATGAATGCCGACGGAAGGTTTTCCCACATTCGTTACAAATGAAAGGTTTTTCCCCTGTATGGATCCTCCGATGTTGAATGAGGTGTATCCTCTGGCTGAATCCTCTCCCGCATTCGTCACACTTATAGGGTTTTTCTCCCATAATGGCTATCTGAGTTTGGTTATGAGTTGAAGTCTGGTTGAAGGTTTTTCCATATTCATTGCATTTCTCTCTGAGAAGAATGCAATTAGTAAGAGAAGCATGCTGACGGAAGATTTCCCCACACTCATCATATTCATAGGCATTCTCTCTTATGTCATTTCCTCGATAATAAATCAAATCCGAGTGCTGTTTGTTGCTATTTCCTTGTGTGTCATAGTAGAGAGGCTTTTTCCTTGCATGTACATCACATGCATTCTATCCTGGGGGAGGCCAGAAGAGAACAATGAGTCCCCTGGGAATGTGAGCCACCTTGCAGGTGCTGGGACTTGAACCCAGGTCCTCTGCAAGAGCAGCCCATGCTCTTAACCACTGAGCCATCTCTCTAGCCTGTAGAGAGGCTTTTTAACCGAAGGGATTCTCTGAAGCATAATAAGGTTAGAATTCAGATTACAGTTTTCCTCAAACTTCTTACACCCCATGCTTCTTTGTGTAATTTTTTGGTGGGTGAAGGATACTTGTTCCAAGTGCTGCTGCTGCTTTTCGTGGTTTGATTCTAACTGATAATCAAAATCCCAGAGTCCTCCTAAGATGGAGTACCAGAAGCTGCCTCCTGTTAGTCTCTCCATTATGACCTCACAGAGCTGGTTTTCATTGGACGTGTTCTGCTTGAGAGTTGTCTTTTTCACTTCCGGTCTGTCCACCCCATCTAAAAGAAATTCAGAATGTACAAATCCTTTCTAAACCCTTTCCAACATTATGTTTTAAAATGGAAACTTGACATACGGAATTACCAGAGAAGCCTGGCGATAATACAATGAACATTTTAAAATGGGCACATAGGACAGTAGGAAGACCATGAAAGGAGGCAGGAATCAGTGAGCATGGGGACATTTAAAACACAGGTATGGCCGGGCAGCGGTGGTGCACGCCTTTAATCCCAGCACTCAGGAGGCAGAGTCACATGGATCTCTATGAGTTCGAGGCCAGCCTGGTCTACAGAGTGAGATCCAGGACAGGCACCAAAACTACACAGAGAAACCCTGTCTTGAAAAACCAAAAAGAAAAAAAAAAGATTTATTCATTATTGTGTATATAGTGTTCTGCCTGTATGTGTGCCTGCAGGCCAGGAAAGGGCACCAGATCTCATTAAAGATGGTTGTGAGCCACCATGTGGTTGCTGGGAATTGAACTCAGGACCTCTGGAAGAGCAGCACATAACTGCTGAGCCATCTCTCCAGCCCCTTGACTTTTTTTTTAAATAGAATTGGGGCACAGGCCACTGCACATGTGTGGAGATCAGGAGCTATTCTCACCGGGCGGTGGTGGCGCATGCCTGTAATCCCAGCACTTGGGAGGCAGAGGCAGGTGGATCTCTGTGAGTTTGAGGCCAGCCTGGTCTACAGAGCAAGATCCAGGACAGGCTCCAAAGCTACACAGAGAAACCCTGTCTCGAAAAACCAAAAAAAAAAAAAAGTTATTCTCGCCTTCTGCTAGATGGATTTTCGGGTTTCACGGTGATCACTTTTACCCACGGATCCTTCTTGCTGCCTCTGGTTCCCTTTTTTTTTTTTTTTTTTGGTTTTTTCGAGACAGGGTTTCTCCGTGTAGCTTTGCGCCTCTCCTGGAACTCACTTGGTAGCCCAGGCTGGCCTCGAACTCACAGAGATCCGCCTGGCTCTGCCTCCCGAGTGCTGGGATTAAAGGCGTGCGCCACCACCGCCCGGCTCTGGTTCCCTTTTTAAAATTTATTTATTACATGTGGATGAGTGTTTCCCTGCACGTATGTATGTGCACCATGTGGCATGCCTGGTGCTCACGGACATCAAATGAAGATATCTGGTCCCTTGGGACTAGAGTTACAGAGGGTTGTGAACCATCATAAGGATGATAGGAACAGAACCTGGGTCTTCTCTAAGAGCAATTGCTAAACCATTTCTCTAGCCCCAGAATAAAATAGTATTTTTTGCGGGGGAGTGAGGTTTCAGGATATCTCTGTGTAACCCTGGCTGTCCTGAAACTCACTTTGTAGACCAGGCTGGCCTGGAACTCAGAGATCCACCTGCCTCTACCTCTTGAGTCATGGGACTAAAGGCGTGTGCCACCACCACCCAGCTAAGATGATTTTTTTTTTTTTGCTTTGGTTGTTTGATACAAAGATCTCAAGTCTACATCACCTAGCCCAACAGCACACGACTGACGTCAGACACTGGCTTTGCGGGAAAGGACATTAGTAAAACTCTAGTAACTTGAGCAGCGCAGGAAGGGCAGGAATCTCTGAGGAAAGCCAAAGAGCTCAGGAACGAGGCTCCGGGCTATAACTCTAAACATAAAGACTTAGATAATGAGAGGGAAAAGAAAAATGAAAAGAAAGTAAAATAGAGAAATTTTGATATGAAAAGAAACGATTGAAAGAATACTGAAGAGAAGGGCGGGAGAGATGGCTCCAGGGTTGGGAGCACTGGCTGCTCTCGCAGAGGACCCAGGTTCAATTCCCAGCTCCCCCATAGTGGCTCACACAATATTATGTAACTCCAGTCCCAGGGGATCTGATGCTCTCTTCTGATCTCCTCTGGCAGTACATGTACTTGGTGCACAGACGGATGCAGGCCAACACCTGTACACATAATATAAGATGGAGTGGTGGGGGGAGAATACTAAAAGGATATATAAAGAAAATACAGAGAAAACGCTAGGGGGCGATCTGTAACAGTGTTTACAGAAGTTCAAACTTACACATCCAGGATATCATTTTTCATAATAAATGTATATTTTCTATTCAATCGGGGGGAAGAAAAAAAAAGACAGCCATTTCTACTTTGTATAAAAGATACAATGTGAGTGGAAAGGTGAATGTTTTAAATATTCTTTCTGTCCCATAAAAACGGCACTCTACCGAATACTTGAAAAGGAGCCTTTTTCCCCACTCACTGGTCCTGCTTCTCACCTGGTTCTCATCTCTTCCCGGTGTCCGCTGCACCTCTTGTTCCAACTGAGTGCTCACTTCTGGCTTATAAAGCTGGTGCCCTGGTTGTGGGGGGAAATGCAGGTCTTACATGTTAATAGGGAATAAAAGTCTTTTCCGGGACCACTTCCAAATCAGGCACGCTGGCTCTTTTATACCCATTATCCCAGCGCTCGGGAGGCTGAGGCACGAGGGTTGCCATGAGTTTGAGGCTCGGCTGGGATATATAGCGAGACCTTGTCTTGGAAAAGAAAAAAAAAAATCCAATCTCAACGAAGTCAGAGCCCCACCCCGCACCCCGAGAAAAGAACATCGGACAAATGTCTGCCTCCAAAACTAGCCAGCATTCTTCTGTATGGCCTAAACCGTATTCACAAAGGTTTTCACGCCTCCTACGACCGAAGGCAATGCACTCATTTGAATGGGCACTGCTTTTCCAACACCTCCAAGCTTACCCAGTTCGACCAGATTTTTATAGTTCTCCAGCATCACGTTTCGATAGAGATTCTTCTGAGGCAGGGTCAGCTGTGCCCTTCCTCTCTGGTGAAGTTCACAGCCACATCCTGGAATGTCAGCAACTCCTGGAACACCAAGCACACTCCACCTTGATCACATCTCATTTTTTTTTTTTTTTTTTTTTTTTAAATTTTACATCCCAGCCGCAGTTTCCCCTCCCGCCTCTCCTCCCGGTCCCTCCCCCATGCTCACACATAATTTGATAGCCATTTTTTTTTAAGTGAAGGGCTTTTTTTTTTTTTAAGTTATTCCAAATTATTTGACTTGGTTTTCAAAGAAACAATATCTAGGGGCACTTACATCTATCTGGTCAGCTGACACAATACTTAATTACATTGTAGAATTGTAACAATAGGCTCAAACAGGTTTTGGAAGATTCCTTTCCTTGGTGTGTGTGTGTGTGTGTGTGTGTGTGTGTGTGTGTGTGTGTGTGCATGTTCATATGTGTTCAGGTATACATATGCCCATGATGCATGCCACTCGGTGTATGGCAGTTTCCTCCAAACTAGGAGACGAGAAACTTGGAGGAGTCTCTAGGGCCTCTCCCCCGCTATAAACAGGAGTAAGCAACCGTTGGGGGCGGGGCACCTCTAATCACTCTTGGGGGCGGGGCACCTCTAATCACTCTTGGGGGCGGGGCACCTCTAATCACTCAAAGTGCAGAGAGTTGTTCTTGGATGGTTGAGCTCTCTGCAAGCTGTCCAGAGAGATGCAGGACTGAAGCCTTTGTGAGCTGTCACCCCTGCGGGGGTGGACTCTCCGGTGACAGCTGCTTTTGGGTCCTCCCCACTCCTTCTAAGTAACCCCTCATCTAGATTCCTATTAGCAAGCCCAATTAAAAACTCATTGATTCACTAGGGTGGACATTAGTACAGTTGTTACTTTGGGCTGTCATGGCTTTCCTTTAGATATGTGTGTGTGTGTGTGTGTGTGTGGCATCTCCCCAGGAAGTCTGTCACATAATAGAGGTCAGAGGACAACTTCATATTGTTTCTCAGGCATTTATTTTTATTTTATGTCCATCCGTGTTCTGCCTGTATGTGTGTCTGTGGGAGGGTGTCGGATCTGCTGGAACTGCAATGACAGACAGCTGTCAGCTGCCATGTGGGTGCTGGGAATTGAACCCAGGTCCTCTGAAAGAGCAGCCAGTGCTCATAACTGCTGAACCATCTCTCCAGTCCCCACTTTTTCCTCTCGAGACAGGGTCCCTCACTAGCCCTGGAACTTCCTAGTAGACTAGACTGGCTGGCCGTGAGCTCCAGGGATCATCTTTTTTTTTGGTTTTTCGAGACAGGGTTTCTCTGTGTAGCTTTGCGCCTTTCCTGGAACTCACTTGGTAGTCCAGGCTGGCCTCGAACTCACAGAGATCCGCCTGGCTCTACCTTCTGAGTGCTGGGATTAAAGGCATGTGCCACCACCGCTCGTCAAGATTAGGCCATGTTTTTTTTTTTTTTTTTTTTTTTTTTTAACCTGGGTTCTGGGGCTCAAACTCAGTCCTCACGCTTGTAAGGCAGGCAGTTTACTGACTGAGACATCATCCCAGTCATTATATAATAGATATTTT